CCCCCCCAAAATTTCACAAATCACGTTTTCAGGGGAGCCCATGTCTTATTAAGGGGAGCCGAGCTCCCCCGTAGTTCGCACCCTGAGTGTAGCAGATATTGACATAAAATGCAATAAAAATCAGTCGTCACTCTATATCTCCAATAATATGTCTTAGTAAGATGAGACTGAAATGATCCAAACATATAATGCAATGCAATCCAATGCTGACTGAGAGATGAAGAAATAAAGCTCCTCAGAAGATGTGAGATGTTCTGGAGGCTTGTGAAGATCAACAGTGAAAGTAAACATTCCTCAAAAGATCCTGATGATCAGATTTGAGACGCACTGATTTTTCTAAAAAATGATTGATGGAGAATCAAGTAAAGCTGAGCTGATTCAGTCCAGTAAGTGTTCATCTACTGATAACAATATCAAAGTTATTTTTACGTTTACTAAAATCAATAGTATTTGATTTCACATAAAAAACCATGTGAAGCTCCAGCTGAAGCTGGACATTTGTTCGATTACACTAAAAGAGCTTTGACTTGATAAACTCTAAACTATCAATCAGAGGACAGAAGGCATGGAGTAGATTGTGTGCGACAGGTTTAACAGCAGTTTTGATCATGCAGATCATTTAGAGCCCTTAGAAGGTCACTTCAAGTCAGTTTTACAGGGTTAAGATCGCTCTGTGGGGTTCAGGACTTTCAGATCTGCTGTAGAACATCACGAAGCAATACTTACAGCAATGAAAACACCACTTGGTCCATTAAAGTTGTCTATCCAGCCCTGTCAAACACAGAAAAAGACACAATTACTATGCGGTTGCTAGGGTGCTCTGAGCGGTTGCTAGGTGGTTGCTCGTAAGTCAAGAGTCAAAACCAAACCAGTGTTATTTTAGTATCATTGATATTCTATTATAGTTTTTGTTAATAATTTGAATACAATTTTATTTTTATATTTTCTGTTTTTATTTAAAAGATTTTGTAATTTTGTTTGTTTTTGTCACTTTTATTATTATTTTGTTTATTTTAGTACATCGAGTTAACCTAAATATTATTATTTTTTTTTTAAATATAAATCTATATAGTTTTCCGTTTTATTTCATTTTAGTTATTTTAGTATTTCAAATTAAATTAAATGAAAATGTTGAAAAGAAAACAAAGAAAATAAGATTAGGTTTTGTAATATTTTATTTTACTTCAATTTAAGTTTCTTTTATTTCAAATAAAGAAAACTATTTTTTAAATAATGTCTAGTTTTTATTTTTTTATTTCAGTTTTAATTTTTAGAACACCGAGTTAACCTAAATTTATTATTATTATTATTATTTTTTAAATATATGTCTATATAGTTTTTATTTAATGTTTTTTATTTCAGTTTATTTAGTTTTAGTTATTCAAAATAAACTAAACAAAAATGAGAAATATTACCTTTTTGGCAGCCAGCTGAAATAAAGTTTATATACAGTATATGTATATATATA